CCCACTACACGCACTATATACGTTGAGAGCGAGTTTCACAGTTAGCGCATACTGAGCTATCGATGATTTTAAATTACCTTCTGGTTGTAGAAAGGATATTGGCGTTTGTCTGTAAACATATAGTCAGGAAATCGAAGTGCAGATCACAGAAAGTACATTACGAAACCCTTCTGAGAGTCGAGGAAAGGAGCTAAGCTGCCACCGACAGAAGCCGTCACTTCCGCCCAAAGCGGCAACACGTAGCCACGACGGAAGGTGAGACTATTAGAAGTACAAAAGCACATACACACAGAAGTAAGATTTAAGGTTCTCGGAAAGTAATGTGTGAAATTTACCGACACAAATCCGTCTACAACAGAGGCAGACAAGATCATTGCCCCGTGTGTGTGCGCGGAACCCTCAAGGCAATGGCTGCTTGTACACGGGCTGGCTGAAAGTTCGATATGTCTGTTGGAGAGGGAGGGGGGTTGGAGACGTGTGTAACACGTCCGAATTGGTCGCAGACCCGGCTTATCAACCAGGCACACAGGGGGGCTAAAACTGTCGGGAATGCTCACACTTCCAACTATGAGTCTTCTCACACAGAAAAGCACTTGCGCGCGTTTCCCACGCTGAGTGCCATGAGCGGCCGCTCGGAAGCGTTCCACACTGGCCGTGTCTACACAAAGTTCTCATCAGAGCTGATCAATCCATGTCCACGAGAAAGTTACTCAGCCCTTCTAGAAGTGGATTACACAGAATATAGCCGCCCTGAATGGGATTCTGATAAATAAACGCAGCTCTTGATTTAAATGAATACATTTTTTCCTAGTAACCCATCGTGTTCTATTTTTCTGTCGTGTTGAGGTTTGGGACAACATACTGAATGATACTGACTGACTGGACAGTCGGACAAGCATACGCTTCGTATGAGTTCTACGTATTAGACTGAGCCGAACATGTTATTGGAATAATCACCTGAAAGGTGTTAGCCATTAAACACTAGGGAGGATATCGCTAGAAGAGGGTATTATTAAACACAGGAACGTTGAAGTAAATAAGGCCGTGTTGTTATTGAGAGAGTTAATTTTTACGGATAGGAGGTTCGAAGGTTTGCACATTCCATCATCCCGTAATATGGGGTTGGTTTCCGACTGGGTAGCCCAGCTCAAGTAGTATTTGTCCGTGCTGCAGGACGGGGGTTGCGGAGCGCACCGGTCCCCACGGATATCGCAGTACGGGTCGTAATACTTAAGTTGGACATCTTAAGAATTTCCTTAGTAGAGGCAGGTCTTCAGGGCATTGTTGGAATACTGACCATAACGAAGGGATAAATTGCGGGAAAAGGTTGCGGCAGACACAGGACATGACAAGGCCCTGCCCCACTGAGTGCAATCTGCTCAAACGTTGCCGTGCTCATTTGGACTCGGATGAGAACAGAGCAACTCTGGAATGGCCCGAAAGGCAAAGCCTAACTGGCACCCTCTCAGTAGCCGGTAAGCAGCTGCTGCTGATTATAATGGTGGTGGTAGGCAGGTTCGTCAAGGACAGGCCCAGGAAAGCTGGGGCTGTCATATCTGTACTTTGAAGATCAATAAGTCGCAGATATGCGTTTGACTGATAATTTGGAAGTATCGTGGGGCAAATAAATTCCACTGCTCATTTTCTTTTCTCTTGTTGAAGTCCGACTGGACCATGCTAGGAGATACAGTTGACAATCCTAGATTAATCAAGAATGCAACGATAAGATTTTGAATTAGTTTAACCATGAAGGCATCAACAATGACGAAATAGAAAATACAATTTTCAGCGAAGAAAAATTACCTAATTGACAACAGATAAATTTGAAGTAACAAGAGGACAGCGCATCACTTTAGTCCCTATGACTCCTACCCGGCAACTAATAACGCAATAGCTACTTAAACTTTAAACCTATTTTCTTCATCGCTTTGATAGTAGAGGCATTATTCTGTCACCGTAATTGGCCAGGAGATAAATCAAAAGGGGTTTTAATTTTGCTGATGGGAAAATCGCGTACCTCGTTTTGGTGGTTGGCGGGCGCCTCACGTTGAACGCACTGAGAGAACAGTAAATGACAACTCTCCTCAATGGGACTGAAGAGCATTCGAGGCACCATAGAGCCCAAATTATTTACAAGATCGTAAATGCCTGCCAAGGAGAAAGAGACGACAAGGAAGGGTTGTAAGAGAAAACAAAGCACCGGAAGACGCAGTGGGGGCGATTGGAAAACAGTGAACTGCAACGTATGACTAGCAGGGGAAACATAAAAAGGCTAAAAGAACTGATAAATCTTCCAGATTAAAGTGTGTAAGGAGGGAAACAAAGGATGTTTCATCCGACAGATATAAAAGGTCGTAGTTTCGTAAATCAGGGAGTAGCCAATAGTTGTCTCGAGGTCGTCGTTATGGACACTTCGACCTCCATAAGATTGCCGATAGACTTCAGAGAGTATGCAAAGAGTCTGGTGAAAATTTATACGTAGTCAAATGGTAGGTAATGGGATTAAACGTTCAAGGTCACCAATATGTGTATGACAGCAAATTGAAAGGTCCATCAGCTAAGGCCTAAGTGGACATGACAAAAATCATAAATTTAGTTGACCCACTTGTGAAAAAACTCACGGCATTCGGCGGGGTTCGAACCCGCATAGGAGGGAGGCCTTTTACGCAAGCCAACGTAAAAGGCCTCCCTCCTATGCGGGTTCGAATCCCACCGAATCCCGCGAGTTTTTTCACAATTGGGTCAACTATACTAAGCAAATCTGCCAAATCAACTTAATAATATGCATTAGCTCATGTTTTTACCCGTTAACTGGAATCCAGGCCCAGAACGACTTTTATTAAAGGAAACTGCATACTCAATCTTTTATATTGAAAGAAAACAGACAGGATTTGGATGAAATTGCTGGTTGTAGGATATCAAAGAATTTTCGTATGCTATGTAATATCACGGAATAAAATCTATTGCTTTTGTGCGTTATACCAAAAGTGATCATTAATGTAAGCAGGAAGCGTTCCAAAAAACCCGATTTTTAACAGCAAAACTGATCTGAAGTCAATGAAGACTGCTATTTGTGACTACAAATCCTAACTGCTAACTCCAACTACTATTTTTAAATTCCCCGACATATTTAAAATTTCACTTG